CCTCTAGATGGGGCATGAACAGCACTCCTCTAGATGGGGCATGAACAGCACTCCTCTAGATGGGGCATGAACAGCACTCCTCTAGATGAGGCATGAACTGCACTCCTCTAGATCTGTCTCTTATACACATCTAGATGTGTATAAGAGACAGTATATATATATATATATATTAGTGTAGTTAGGCAGAAGTTCTTCATTTATACAGGTTTGATTGAAGACCAGAGCGTACTTTTTATTAACAATTTTCTTATTGTTTTTTTTTTCGATGAGCCGAACGAAATTTCTTGCAGGTGCTTGGAGATCAAAAAGCAGATTACCAAATGACATTTTACTGGAATGCGACGTTTCGAATATATCAATATTCATTATCAAGCAAGTGAACAGTTATTACGTACAACGCTAAAAATTGAAATTTGGACATGACATAAGTTCATACAGAAAGTATCGTAGATACGGTTCAAAATCGAAAATTAAATTAATCCGAGAATAATTTCAACGTCCTGACGAATCCGGTAGTCTGCAAATTGATAGCAGGAGACTCGTCCTTAATGATGGTACTCGTCCTGGTGCAAGACGATAATAATTCGTTCGTCTCTAAAGTTTATCGAAAACCTACAGACGTCGGAAAGGTCCTGAACCATGGAAGCGAATGTCCCCTGCGCTACAAGGACGTCCTGGTGTAAGACGATAATAATTCATTCGTCACTAAAGTTTATCGAAAACCTACAGACGTCGGAAAGGTCCTGAACCCAGAAAGCGAATGTCCCCAGCGCTACAAAGTCAGCACAATACGCGCCTTCATATATCGAGCGTTCAAGACCTGTACCTCTGCTCGTGACTTAAAAACTGAACTCCGAACCTGCAAACAAATTCTTGTTAACGACGGCTATGCAAACAAAACGATTGACAAAGAAATTTCGAATATCAGAGCACGTCAAAACCCAACAGATGATTCCCCATCCAGATGATTCCCAGGTTGCGTCACCAGAATTTACTATCAAAATCAAATGAACGATGGTCATAGGACTGACGAACGAGGCCTCAATTCAATTGTGCAAAATAACATCAGCTGCACAACAGTAACTGACCGAATATATCTTATGATTTACTACAGAAACAAAAAGATCAAGAATTTAATCATGAAAAACAATCCATGTAAAAAGTCCGGACCACTTTAAGAAACCAATGTCATTTACAAATTTTCCTGCATGAAAGAAGGTTGTAGACTTCTCCAAAATGTAAATTACATCGGTTTGACAAGCACGACATTGAGCCTTAGACTCACATGCCATCTGCAAGCTGGAGGACCAAAGAATCATATGCGGGAGCCTGAGGCCCACAACGAGACCATCACCCGTGCCACGTTGGAGGCCTGCACCAGCATCGTCATGCGGTGCCCCGACACTACGAGACTGTTGATAGCGGAGGCTCTCATCATTATGGACGAGTCTCCTGCTATCAATTTGCAGACCACCGGATTCGTCAGGACGTTGAAATTATTCTCAGATTAATTTGATTTTCGATTTTGAACCGTATCAACGATACTTTCTGTATGAACTTATGTCATGTCCAAATTTCAATTTTTAGCGTTGTAATGACTGTTCACTTGCTTGATAATGAATATTGATATATTCGAAACGTCGCATTCCCGTAAAATGTCATTTGGTAATCTGCTTTTTGATCTCCAAGCACCTGCAAGAAATTTCGTTCGTCTCATCGAAAAATACAATAAGAAAATTGTTAATAAAAAGTACGCTCTGGTCTTCAATCAAACCTGTATATATTTACGCTGTAATTATAAGCGTGTTTTTCGTTGTATCATTGGGTTTGGTACGAGAGTGAAATCGAAGTATTATGAATTGGGTGACTTTCGAAGAATTAAAAATTATTAGAGGATAAATTAAAATTATTTAAATTAATAAATTTAAAAATAAATCAAATTATTATTTTTTATTATTTATATATTATTAGAGGATAGGAATTAGCAACCACATTAAGTTTGCGCTATGTTAAAATGGTTATAACTGAGCCCTGCACACAATAGATACACTAAGCTGTTGTTTGCAAATATTTTAGGAGAATTTTGAGGATAGGTTTAAATGGTTTTTGCCGCAAAATGCCTAACAGTATATGTGAATGTGATTGTTTAGTGATGGCGAATATTAGAGAATGTTTAATACTGGTTAAGGCGAGAGAATGCTTTGCTCTGCCGTATGTGTAAAATGTTTGGTACCCGCAATAGGTGGTAATGTTTGGTACGGGGGAATGTGTTAGAATGCTTCGTACATGGATAATGTGGGATAATCTTGAGCGGTGTTGAATATTGGAGAATGTTGATCGTTGTGTGCTATTGCACATGGGAGAATGCCGATCGTAAAGTTTTATTGCATAATGAAGAGTGTTTGGTTTATGGAAATGTTTGAGAATGCTGACTGCTGGTGAATATTGAAGATTGTTTTGATCGGGCAATGTGCAATTCTGGTAAATATTAGAGAATGTTGTGGGTAATGTGGAAAGCGGGGGTGGAAAGTTGTATTAACTGATATTATTCCCGTTTTAAACTCGTGTTTACTTGCCACTTGTTTCATTGTGCTGCGATGATACATGATGATGCATATATATATTTTTACGGATGTCCATCAATAGCCGGACAGGATTGGTAACATTACCGGACAGGGGTTTGAAATCCGGACAAAATCGAGTCCGGTTATTTACTCTGCAATTAGTTTGTACCTGCAAACCGCGCTAGCTCCGTTAATAAACCCAGACGACGCCCGATCAATCAGAGCGCGATTATGCTAAGTCAACATTAAAATAAGTGACCTTCATAGCTTCTCGATGTTTTATTCATTTATTTAATGTGCTATTCTTTCTAATCGTATTTTTATATCGTAATTATTATCGAGAATTTGTCCACAAACAATAAGCTGCAAGAAACTAAAATATTATAAAATGCATCTAGCCTTATTTTATTAAAAACAAGTTTTGCCCTAGTGCAAGACTTATGCAGAAAATGATTTAGAACTATAGATGCTAAAAAAATTTGAGGAGATCCCCCCAAAAGAAGAGATAAAGACTGGTTTGGTGCGCAATCTCTGTAACCTGCTGGTTCTGTCGTGACGGATGTCGCCTTAGCAGCAGAACATGCGTGGTTAGCGTCAGCGGTGCAGCTTTGTACCTGCGAGTCATGGGACGTTTGCATTACCACAACTGAACATATGATATGAACTTAAAATGTAAACATATGATACGAAAAATCGTTGCAGGAAAATTTTAAATTTGAGATTGAGTTAGAATTAGTAAGAAACGAAGAAACTTTAAGGAAGAATTCCTGCCTAATTTCACACGTGAGTTATTTAGTATCTCTAAACTGATAGATACCAGATCAGTAATTTACAGGTTGAATTATTTAATGGTGACGAAGTAAGGAGTAGTTTTCAAGTAGAAGAATTTCCAAAGTGCAGCATTCATGATTATGAAACTGAAAAACTTCTTATATGAGGAATTGAATTGTAACTCAAGGAAAAAGGTTATGATAATTCATCATGGACTCCAGAAGTTCATTACACATTGAGTTGAACTCACGTCGCGTTGAACTCGTATCGAATTGAATTCATATCTAGTTGAATTTTAGCACATACATATCAAGTTCATAACAAACAGAAGCTAAAATTAAGTTATTTAAGTTATTTCATTCTGATAAAATTACATGATTAACAAAAACGAAACAAGATTAAAAAATAGAAAAAATGTATTGAACATGATTCATACGAAGATGTTAGATAAGTATATAAGCTTCTAATTGAACCTCATAACAAAATGGGTGAAGCAACAAAACAAATAAGGTTCGCTCCGAAAGATGCTCATAGTTAGATGTAACCAGTCAATCATGCCGGAAGATTGGCCTCAGGTTCTCTGGACTCTAAAAATATAATTGGTCCAGTAGCCACGACATTTTAAAATCATTAATTTAAACCTGAATTTGAGTACGCTAAAACGTACGGCATGAAATTTGACGGAGAGAATGTTAAAGTATGAGATACAATCGTAGACATTTAAATTAATGATTGTTGAATGAGCGATGATGTTAATGATGGAGAAGCAACAGAGAAGGAAGCAACAGAGAAGGAAGAATATTGCCAAGAAGTTGCTACAATTAGAGCTGTGAGCCCTTCATATAGGAATCAAACCACAGGACCGAGAACCAGTACTTCCAAATCTGGTTGAAAACTTTCATTGATCATATAAAGAATAATTGTTATACCTAGGTACTAATGTTAATGTTATTTTTACAAGATGTCACTTATTATTTGGCTTCCTGCAAGTTGAAAATACAAGTACTCCCACACGAACTTCGGAAACGAAATTTATTAAAATGATCATGATGTTGTACACGTCAACAATTTGTGTTGAAAAATAGAATCACAAAGCTAACTTATTACCGACAGAAAGAGTATAATCCATGCATACTTTAAAACTGCAATGATCGAAATTAGATAAAAATAAATTCTATGAACTGGCATTGGAAGGACTGGATATATATCATTCTATTCCGAATATCCAAATATCGATGAAACAAATAATAAATTTCATTAGAAATTTATGGGTGATATAAACGTTATAACTATCCCGACCGGATGCCACGAGTTGTAGTGTATTAATAAGTACATACCTTAAGATATGCTCAAGGAATTTATTGATATTAAGGCAAATACCAATACGATTAAATATGCTCTAGCTACCCATTATCCTCAATTAAAATTTTATTTGAACTGAAACAACAGCTTGCATATTCTGTTAGGTTATGACGCTGGGATATCGGAAAATGTATAAAACATGCATGTACAAATTCAGTAAATATAATGTCTGTTAAAACTTGTTCACCGATGTATAGTAAATGGAGACATAGTAATGATGATATATGAAATTATGTATACAATAACTTGAATACAGTTTTCCCTAACGTCCTCCCATGGCATAAAAATATACAGTATTCTAGCCAACTAATTTATCTGTCCGTAGATCAACTTCAATTTTATATGTAATCTCCTAATTCGGTTAGCAGATCAAAATAGAATTATTTTGAAAAACCGAGGTGAAGAAATAACAATTAGAATGCACTTATGATCAGGAAATGTAGATTATATTTAGACAAATTAATTATTAAAGTAGAGAGCACACAATGAAACTGAATCGTTCATATTGATGAATCAACTGGAGAATTGAAACTCATAATTATGGGACTCAAATTGAAACTGATTTAGATCGTAAAGTTAATGACAGCAAGATTATTAATCGAAATCGATATCAGTTTCCACTACCATCTTAAATTAGTCTTTATATCGAAGGAACGAAAGAGGATGGTAGTAGTTGTAATTCCAAATATGATATATAAATATATATATTAACAGAATGGTGTAGTCATTCGACCGAGAAACTCTTAAAATAAGCAGCAATTTAGGGTTATAGTTATACTGTTTTCTTAACAGGTGTAAAATGTTGACAACGTATCAGCAAAGCCGCAGAGAAAATATTATGTTCTTCTGGAGTCTTGATAGATGCTAAGAAAAACAGAAAATCGAATGACTGAATCAATGAAAGTAGCGATTATTTAGAAGCCTCTGATGGTCAATTCAATGCCAATTCCCCCCGAACATTTTTTTCTGACAAATTAATTTATGGAGTCAACTGCGACTCAACCTTGAGGAGAAAGGACGATGCTAATGCCACGTCCGAAGCTAGTGATAAAGATCCAAATAATCAAGAAAAAGTTCTCGATATCGAGATTACTTTCAAATGACTAATTTAGAGAATGTCAATTTATAAACTTTCCGATGAATATAAGATTAAATTGCGTCGCCATAAACTTGATAAAATTCAATTGTCAATTGCATATTTCAATCGAAATTTAGAATAAACAATGGTTATACTTGGAATAGATGAAACGTTGGACTTTGATACCAAATTCTCGAACTCAAATACCACGTTATATCAATTTAATTCTCCAAACTGCTAGAGATAATTCACATATTTCAATACACTGACTTTGCACTATTATTGAAAAAATTAATTTCTTCGACAGAATGAAAGGTATCCTGCGCAAAACTCAAGTTAAAACTGACGATGAAGCTGGTTTCTGAAACGTTTGCTCATTAGAAAAACGCTGAATTTTCGGGCTATTTCATTGCCTTTAAAATTCTTGAAAACTAGTCAAAGTGATTACAGCAATTGCGATATGCCCTCAGCAGAGCTTCAAGAAATGTATTATGAAACTTATAATATTAGTCATACCTCTTTGTTGATAAATAAGAACGAGCGCATCTGCTCTGACAAATATATAAAAAATTCGAATCAATCATGCGGTGGAAGTAACTCTATTAATGCATACTCTGGTTAATTCATGCTTATTTGCTCGGTAACGGTGCTGGATTAAAACTGCAACAAAGTCCGGTCAACTGGGCAGACAGATTGTGGCCTGTAGGTGCAATGCAGGTGTGCGTTATTCCTATACTACACATACATGTAAATTTATATGAATATCCTGGGGGACCATGAGTATCTTTCTGTCTAATCAGTAATTACAAGACAATCAGCACAAAAAAAGACAGCCACAAAGTCTCATTTCCTTGAACGATTGAAATATGATGGCGAAAATTGCCCTTATTGGTATTTGGTAATTTCGGGTCCATTTAAATATTTTTCAGATTTATTATTGACCCTCTCATTTCCCCGCACAGCATCACAGTGATGCTCTGTCGCCTTTTTCCTAGTACGCAGTTCCCTACACTGAGCCTGACCTCAATGTTGTACGTGCGTTCAGGTTGTAGTTCCTTGATGGTGTGGCAGAAGTGGGCTGCGCTGTCGCTGCACTCCGACGCTTCGACGTAGTGAGTGACCGTGACGCGGTAGCCTCTGATGGCGGCCATGGGAGGACAAGATTTCCTCCACCGCAGGCTGATGGAAGTGGACGTCGTGGAAGAGGTCAACTCCTCCACAGGCTCAGGAGCTGATGATAACCACGGAATGCTTGATTTAGGAAGGGTGCCATGAAGTTTTATGCTCACTCTTGCTATATGCTTTGCTTAAAAAATAACTCTTAGAGATAAGAAATTAATATGTTTAAAAGAATTGTATGCAGTAAATGATTACGGCGTCAACTTCGTTTATGACAGAGAGGGAGCAATTTAGAGGTAAGGGCAATGAGGTCTCAATTATAGCAGTAGAGAGAGGCAGTCCCGCTCACCTTCACCCGGCCGGGTCTCGAACACTTCGCACTTCTCACTTTGTCCTCCGTCGTTGTATGCGTACACGCACACCTCGTACTCAGTGTACGCCTTCAGCTGCGTCAGCTCCAGCTTAGCCGTGCTCAGATTGTGGAAATATTGAACAGCGTCGGGTTTCTTTGGGGTGCAATCTTCTCTTGATTTCATCTGCGTGAAATGTTCATAAATTAAGAATATTGAAACATGTAACAGTTAAGAAAATCCTTGAAATAGCATGTAGTTTTTCAAATTATGAAAATCTGAGGATGAACGATTTATATTAGCAAACATTCATAGAGTATGATTTTGATCGTAAGTTGAACGATCTGCTGCGTAATATGTAACGTTCCAGAGGGTTGCTGAATATAGTAAATTTTTACTATACAAGTATTCTGATTTTGTTTAATTATTACTTGCATATTTTTCTATCCTAAACAACGACCACAAGTCTCATAACTGAATTATTCCAATTTTATTATTTAATACTTACCGCCAGAGTTACGTTGAAAAATTGCTGCGTACGCCACGTCCAAGAAACGCTGGCGGAGGTCACGGCCGGCGTGACAGTCAAGCGGGGGACGTCGGCTGCCGGCGGTAAAATTGCAGTTAATGTGGCGTTGGCAGTGGAGAAACGCGGGAATATCCACCGTACTGACGTTCTTAGGCCAGAGCAATTTCAGGAGCCGCCATCTTCGATGAACACACTATCGTTATGGACTGAGTCTAGTATTTTGAATAATCTTATATTAAGAAAAATCTATCTATCTCTGTGGAACTACATTAAATATCATGATAAAATAAAGTAGGTTCTGAACAAAATTAATAGTTAACTTCTCTTGCTCCGTAATGGAAAACTAGAATATTTGATATACATGTGAGCGTATGTAGTCTCTGCTGGCCTGTAATGTATTGTTCAGGGCTACAGTTCTCAAGAGCGAGGCTGTGAGGGCACGAAGCATTCTAAACCCACTTATATTGAAAATTATTTCCTTATTTATCCGTATTTGTTCATGTTTACAATATTTTTTGCTTCTGTTACAGTTTCCAATTTTCAAATTATTCATTTAATTTACGAGTGATTGATATAATTGATTACGTCGTAACTTGTGACGCAATTAATAAGTACCCCCGTTAACTAGTAACGAAATAAGTGACTTAATGACCAGGAAGGTCAGGTTTTGGAAGGTTTGCAACAGCATGCTCAGATTATATCATCAGGATGATTGCTTCCTGATGATATTTCCAACTGCACCTAATGAAAGGCCAAGCCTTTTGGATATTATTCGATGCCCCTTCCCTTTCTATTAACAATCGATGATCTTTTGACGTAAATCTGTCGCCAGCTATCGAGTTTTAGCCATTTTAAATTAAATTTTAAGGATATAGCTGAATAATATCTTCACCTGAACACAAAATCTTGTAAACAATAGCAAACTGCTCTGAATGGCCCATTAGATAAGGATATGAGATTAATGGAAAATGGAACGTCTAAAGTGAAAAGCGAATTTTGAGTACCTTAGAAAAGTTATTATTGTTCATTTTTAAACATGTACCTAATGCTTTTGCGTGGGTTAAAATTTCAATTTTATTGAATAAAATATAAACAATGCTTACTTATCAATATCCTTTCTATATAATGTTTCTAGTACCATTAGCAATATACTGACTAAATATAAAGAGAAATCCTGCACTTTAACTTGATATATAAAGAAAACTGTAATGTATCCAATATTTATGAGTGTCACTTTATATGTTTATGCGACTTCGTCAGCTAAATAATTTAATTTTTGATTAAAACTAATTTATTTAAACCTCGGAACGCAAGATCGTTAAATTTAATTATATTAATTTAGAACCTACGCCGACTCATGATGTGATGACACACACACTTACTGACTCATTACAACAGCCGTGTACTCACAATGCTTCTCATCACTCCAGTCCCCGCAGTTGTTCGTGCCGTCGCATTCCCAACGCTTGTGGATGCATCTGCCGTTGCCGCATTCGAAGTGGTCACCTGTGCAGCCTGCGATGAATCAAATAAGCCGTCAATCTAGGTCCGACTAAGTAATATAAATAACTAACTTTGCTCAAGGTGATCAGGTTTCCTGAACGCGAGACGAGGTAGAATGTATAGGGGATAAGAATTTGATGTATGCGTTGTTTACAACATCGCATCAGAGGTGGTGGAAAAGTCTCAATATGCAATGGGTTCAGCGGTCCAAAACTTCCCGTGGAAAGGAAATCCAGCCCAAGAAGGGGGTAAAGTCGAAAACTCGACACTAGTCATAGCATGCTTGCGAAACATTGAAAATAATTCGACGGTGAAACGTTATAATTGAATGCAGTCGAGGAATAATTAATTTATATTCAAGAAAAAGAAATGAATGTTAGGAGCAGAAAAAGATCCTCATATTAACTCGAAATAAAAGACAGTAGAATTGCACGGAAGCGTTTGCGTCATCAGGCAACTCACAGTCGCGCTCGTCGCTGTCGTCGCCGTCCCAACAGTCGTCGCGTCCATCGCACCGCAGCGTCTCGTTTATGCAGCGGCCGGTGTTGGCGCACTTGAACTGACCAGAGCGACGGCACGTGCCTGCAATTACAAGTACTTAGGTATAGAATTTTCAGACCCTAAATAAAAAATCCCAATGTATGTTTTCATTTTTTTTTGTCGTCACAGAATAATTGTTCGGCTCCAATAATTTGTTTTGAATGATGTTATTGTTGTAATTAATTTTCTCAATAAAATTTATTTATCTTAATTTTATTGGTTAGGTTAAGTTAGGTTAGACAATTAGCCGTGTACTCACAATGCTTCTCATCACTCCAGTCCCCGCAGTTGTTCCTGCCGTCGCATTCATTACGCTTGTGGATGCATCTGCCGTCGCCGCACGTGAAGTGTTCGCCGGTGCAGCCTGCGATGAATCAAAGAAGCCGTGAATGGCGAGTTGCGGTGATATTATAATCCCAATGGATACATATTTTCTGAGTTATTCTATGATTACAGCAAAATATTGTCAAGATAATTAAATTTGTAAAATTCGTGACATATTTTGAGAGAAAGGAAGTCATATAACGTACTCAGTGACAAAGGAAGTCATATAACGTACTCACTGAAAGGAAGTCATATAACGTACCCTCCCCCTCCAACCCACTCCTCCATCTTCACATTAATATCAATGCACGATGATCGGGTTTTCTGAACGCGAGGCGAGGGAGAAAGCGATGAATGTGGAGAAATAAGAATGTGATGAATGAGATGTTTATAACACCTGCTTCAGAGGTGGAGGTATCAAAGGTTCTCACCGGTGCAGATTGGCGCTTGCGTATATTATGAATTTTAAACATCATAAACTTAGTTAACTTATTCAGAATAATTTGATCAAATTTGTTTCTAAGATCTGGGCGAAGAAAGAAGCTGAAGATCAATTGATCAAGAAGCCAGATCCTAACTCCACACTGGCGCAGATTATGATTATTTTTAATAGTAAACACTAACTAATGATACAAGCGATAATTAAACTTAATAAATGAAACTTTAGCTCACACTTACTCACCATAGGGACATGGTATACAGAGAAACACGCGATGTGAGTCGAAACAATAATGTGAGTTTTTAAAAAGGATTCTAGCCGTGACTCGTGATAAAAGACTCATTGACTCACTTGGCCATCATATTAATTTAATACCTACGCCGACTCATGATGTGATGATACACACACTTACTGACTCATTACATCAGCCGTGTACTCACAATGCTTCTCATCACTCCAGTCCCCGCAGTTGTCCCAGCCGCTGCATTCCCAACGCTTGTGGATGCATCTGCCGTCGCCGCATACGAAGTGGTCGCCGGTGCAGCCTGCGATAAATCAAAGCCGTGAATGGCAAGTTGCGGTGATGTTATAATCCCAGTGAGCTATTAATTTAATACCTACGCCGACTTATGATGTGATGACACACACCCTTATTGAATCATTACGTCAGCTAAGGAATAATTGAATAATTTTAATAGTAAAATAATTGAATAATATTAAAATTAAATAATATTAACAATAAAATAATTTTAATAGACTTATTTCCACATAAATATTTTACGCAGGGTGATTATGTTTGCTGAACGCAAAGCGAGGAAGAATATGTAGTGGTAAGAATGTGATGAATGTGTTATTTATAACATCACAGAGGGGGTCTCAAAAAGTCTCAATATTCAATGGGTTCAGCAGGCCCAAAACTTCCTGTAGAAAGAAAATCCAGGCCCCAGAAGAGGTTAAACTCGACAGCTCGACTTTAGTCATGGCATGCCTGCTAATGGACGTTAACAAGCATGCTAACGTCCATAATTATTATTATAACGTCCATGCTAATTAGTAAAGGACGTTGATAGCGAAACGTTATAATTGAATGCAGTCGGGGAATAATTCATTTATATTAAAGAAAATAATTGAATGTTAAGAGCAGAAACAGATCCTCATATTAACTTGAAATAAAAGACATTAGAATTGCGCGGAAGCGTTTAACTCGTCAGGCAACTCACAGTCGAGCTCGTCGCTGTCGTCGCCGTCCCAACAGTCGTCGCCTCCGTTGCACCGCCACGTCTCGGGTATGCAGCGGCCGGTGTTGGAGCACTTGAACTGACCAGGGCGGCACACGCCTGCAATCGCAAGTAATGCGTCTAGTGACGCTATAAGTGAACTCCATGACTTAAAAAGTGACACAATATGTGTCACTTGTTAACTTTAATCTATTATTCATATATTTATGCGACTCTGTCGGTACTAATTAATATAAATGTTTCTTAAAGGCTTTTTTTAAGCCCCGACACGCAAGATTATTAAACACACTTAGCCGTCATATTAATTTAATATCTATGCCGACTCATGATGTAATGATACACACACTTACTGACTCATTACATCAACCGTGTACTCACAATGCTTCTCATCACTCCAGTCCCCGCACTTGTTCTCGCCGTCGCATTCCCAACGCTTGTGGATGCATCTGCCGTCGCCACACACGAAAGGGTCGCCGGTGCAGCCTGCGATAAATCAAAGAAGTCTTTAATGTCGGGCTAACTAATTAACATAAATAACTCATTTTATACAGGCTGATCAGGTTTCCTGAACGCAAGGCGAGGAAGAATGTATAGGAGGTAACAATGTGATGTATGTGTTGTTTATAACATCGCATTAGAAGTGAGGAAATTTTCAATAGGCAATGTGTTCAGCGGGCCCAAAACTTCCTGTGGAAAGAAAATCCAGGCCCCAGAAGAGGTTAAACTCGACAACTCGACTTTAGTCATAGCATGCTTGCGAAGCATTGGAAATAATTCGTTAGTGAAACGTTATTATTGAATGCAATTGAAGAATAATTCATTTATATTCAAGAAAATAATTGAATGTTGGTGATCCAGAAAGTACAGATCCTCATATTAACTCGAAATAAAAGACAGTAGAATTGCGCGGAAGCGTTGGACTCGTCAGGCAACTCACAGTCGCGCTCGTCGCTGCCGTCGCCACAGTCAAAGGATGAGTCGTTGCGTCCGTCGCACCGCCGCGTCTCGCGTATGCAGCGGCCGTTGGCGCACTTGAACTGACCAGCGCGGCACACGCCTGCAATCACAAGTAATGCGGTAAAGAATTTTCAGATCCTAATTAAAAAAATTCTAATATGCGTATTCATTCTTTTATCGCCGTAAAGTAATTGTTCTACTTAATTAATTTGTGTTAACTGATGTTATTGATTTATTTACTTTCTCAATAAAATTGATTTATCTCGAAGGAAGGATATATCGGTTATTAGCGTCTTTATCGGTTATTAACGTTTGGGTTATTAGGCGGGCTGCATATGAGCTCATTCCTGAATGAGTGTTTAGTTTTAATAAGATTTTATTGAATGAGGTGAGTGGGGGAAGAGATTGCCATTGCAGGGGGAATGTATAGTGCTGTTACGTATGGATTGCGGAAAATAATAATGTTGTTACGAGGGGATAAATAGTTATGCCGAGAATGCAAAGGTTAGGTCAATGTAGTGCCGGTTAATTGAATTCAATTCATGTTAACCATAAGGAACCGAACCTGGAGACTCAGACTCACCTGTGCCTGTGGAAGTTTGTTCACCTGCAGCTGTGGTTGTCGCGGCTACCAGGAGCAGCAGCAGTCTGCAGCAGCTACTCATTCCCTGTAAAGCAACAAGAGCTGTGAGTGACGTCGCCTTGTAGGCACTGGTGCTAACATTCTCGCTATCACAACTGGGAGAATAAAATTAACCTTCAACAATGATTAACCTGATGCCAGTTGACTTCATGGCTGCAGGACATCGTCGGGGCCGCCCATTGAACGCTAGCATTGTTGTGCTAGTAAGAAAATATCAGTGAAGAATGTCCCCTGTTATCGAACTGAATATTCATAATGTCGGTAACTAGTAACACAATGAGTGACCTTCATAAGTGACCAATAACGTAAATATGAGTGACCTATGCGGAAGTCAATGAGTGACCTAATAAGTGACTTACGTAACGTAAATAGTAAATAGTAAATAGTAATATCACAACGACGGTAAATTTCAAACGCTCCTACTTCAGCTCTAGCCAGACAGCCAAACTCTAACCGTGCAGGGAAGTAAACTTGGTATTCTTGACACTTTGTAACGAAGGCACTGGTGGATGTTTGAGATGCAACTTAAGCCAAAGTAAGGAATTTATGAATGAACAAAATGAATCCAGCGAATAGCAGGCACTGAATTTATGGTGTGAGTTGAGTCGAGTCGAGTCGAGTCGAGTCGAGTCGAGTCGAGGCGAGTCGAGACGAAGGCGTTGTAGCGAACTAATATGATTCTGCAAACAAAAATAATAAACTTAACAAGATGAGGTAATAATACTTAACCCTAATTATTCCTGACAGAATAATTATATTTCGTAAATATCACAACTCGAATTTAAATGTCACTAAATAACTGACTATTCACAGAACGTTCACCAAAAGTATGATGCAAAGTTCTTCACGACCGACAGAATGAGAGTTGCGAGTATCGAATCGGATCATCAGGTGAACAGGCTCCATCTCTAAATGAATATGCATGTAAAATCGAAAGGCAAAAACATTAATGAAAAAGAATGAGTACAAATCTATCAAAGTGACAAGTAAAATTGCGGAACAAAAAATTAGTGATGCATGAGGGGCAGTTATATTGCAACCAATTATGCAGCTCGTTTATACTGTAAGGTAACAATATTTATACCATTTGTCCCTGGATATTTCCTCATTAATATCTTCCTTGTTGAAAAATAATCTCCTTCACTTCGATATGTTCATAAACATCTCCTTGTGTTTGCCTTCCCTGTTTATTAAGTCACGCCCTTGGTGACGTCAAATAGCAAAGCTATAAAAGCTCTGTTTCAAGCGATTAACTTCAGTCTTGGGCGAGGACCGCTACAGTATACCCCATTGCTCCTGTCCATGTCAAACAGGACAGTAACGCTAGCTGAACGTCTGAGTGGAGAACGCCCCGCGGATACACTCTAGACTTATTCATTTATTTAATTCAACTGGACGCCGAAGACATCATTGTTAAAGCTTCAACTTATAAACTTAGATTATCCTAACTGTAAGCCGAACTATAATCCTACAAGTATATTATATAATCGTTTACGCTGTTCCTCTATATCCTCGGATCCCGCTACAGAAGAACCACCCTCAGGTCATAATTAACTACGATTCAATATCAGAGTTGCATAGAAAAGCAACCTGTTACAGTGGCGCCCGAACAGGGACCTCTTTCAGTGGCGCCCGAACAGGGACCCGTCCTTGGCATTGAATGCTGTCTCCGCCCTTGGCATTGAAAACGCCAGCTTCAAGGCGACTCATAGACCTACCGTACGCCTGACCACGCTGACGTCACAGCTTGGAACAGCTGGTCACAACTCTCGAATCTGCGTACATAACGATGACTGCCGTCACAGATTCCAGGATGCCAAATGACTGAAAAATGACGATCATATTCAAATGTCTCCTCCGTCTTCTGATGGCATCACGGTTATTTTCCGTGTGAAATGTTGAAAATTCTCTATACGGACTGCCGAGATTATTGTCCACATCCTTAGAGAATATTTTGGGTCTCCTTCTCGTCGAAACAATTCAAGCAGAGTCCATCGTGATCGCATACTTCACGAATTTCGTTGAAGTTCGCCTACAGTGCTGTTATCTGACGTACTGATCACGCAGTTCAGAGAATGGTAGCGGCATATTTCCTCAGCGGCATATTTCAAGGTTGATCAGCCGCATATTTTATTTTAGCAAGTGATTTCGCTTGATGTTGCCTCGGCCTTAGCTAATTAATGACTATTAATGACTATGAATAATATACATTAAGAGTGTTCCTTTTTTACCCAAGCGCCTTATATATTCTTGCGCACCGCTTCTTATTCTCTCAGTTTTCAATGAACGTTGAATCTTTGGATAATTATCATATGTATTACCTCCTATCTACGATAGCCGAATGTTCTATTTTATATTAAGCTGAGTTTATTTTGAGAGCAGTTATTTTTAACGCATTATTGAAATTCCGATTTCCGTCATCACATGTTCTTATTGATCGACGATTCATTTTATGATTTTATTGTTCTACGATTCATTCTCCTATGACATTTATGCAGCAATTTCACATGGAATTTCGTTGATATAAGGAATTATTTTGTTTCTTCTGATCTTCCAGTATGATTCTTATATATGAGTACATGTGATTGAAATTGTTTTCCGTTGTGAGCTATATTGAAATGATTCAAAGATTCTTATCTTATGTTTTCAGTATGCAAATTCGTTCCTGTCAAATTAGGGACCAATTTCTCGTAGGGAGGAAGGTGCTATTGTGCATCTGAATTTGCTATTTTTAAAATCTCGTAGCTATTGAAATGTTTTGCTAATTATTAATTCTTGCTAACGGCATGGTTTATTGACATGCTGCAATTTGTCATTTTTTTGCATTTTGACTAGCACTAAAATTCAGGAGCGTTAACACTTAAGTTTGATTTGATAAGATCGAGGACGATATAGAAATTTCCCCGTAGGGAGGAAGGTGTAAGGTAACAATATTTATACCATTTGTCCCTGGATATTTCCTCATTAATATCTTCCTTGTTGAAAGATAATCTCCTTCACTTCGATATGTTCATAAACATCTCCTTGTGTTTGCCTTCCCTGTTTATTAAGTCACGCCCTTGGTGACGTCGGATAGCGAAGATGTTCTACGATTCATTCTCCTATGACATTTATGCAGCAATTTCACATGGAATTTCGTTGATATAAGGAATTATTTTGTTTCTTCTGATCTTCCAGTATGATTCTTATATATGAGTACATGTGATTGAAATTGTTTTCCGTTGTGAGCTATATTGAAATGATTCAAAGATTCTTATCTTATGTTTTCAGTATGCAAATTCGTTCCTGTCAAATTAGGGACCAATTTCTCGTAGGGAGGAAGGTGCTATTGTGCATCTGAATTTGCTATTTTTAAAATCTCGTAGCTATTGAAATGTTTTGCTAATTATTAATTCTTGCTAACTGCATGGTTTATCGACATGCTGCAATTTGTCATTTTTTTGCATTTTGACTAGCACTAAAATTCAGGAGCGTTAACACTCAAGTTTGATTTGATAAGATCGATGACGATATAAAAATTTCCCCGTAGGGAGGAAGGTGTAACGTAACAATATTTATACCATTTGTCCCTGGATATTTCCTCATTAATATCTTCCTTGTTGAAAGATAATCTCCTTCACTTCGATATGTTCATAAACATCTTGTGTTTGCCTTCCCTGTTTATTAAGTCACGCCCTTGGTGACGTCGGATAGCGAAGCTATAAAAGCTCTGTTTCAAGCGATTAACTTCAGTCTTGGGCGAGGACCGCTACGGTATACCCCATTGCTCCTGTACATGTCAAACAGGACAGTAACGCTAGCTGAACGTCTGAGTGGAGAACGCCCCGCGGATACACTCTAGACTTATTCATTTATTTAATTCAACTGGACGCCGAAGTCATCATTGTTAAAGCTCCAACTTATAAACTTAGATTATCCTAAACTGTAAGCCGAACCATAATCCTACAAGTATATTATATAATCGTTTACGCTGTTCCTCTATATCCTCGGATCCCGCTACAGAAGAACCACCCTCAGGTCATAATTAACTACGATTCAATATCAGAGTTGCATAGAAAAGCAACCTGTTACAATACTGAATCAGATAAGCAATAAGTTACACGACACGACACGAAAGCTTAATAACATTGCGACTTTAAAAACATTTAATCAAGCACAAAAAGATTTAAGGGAGGTGTCTTGACTGATCATTTGAGGTTATAATTACGTTCTATTGCGCTAAGACATTTATTCTACTTCGAGAAGTTCTATTTCGTGGCGCTGCCTGACAGCTTTGCGACAATCCCATCCGCATATTGTGGTACATCGCTGCCGCGCATGGCTCATGTGATACAAAAGCAAAGCCACATGATTTTACTCATCACCACATGAGCCCTCGGTAGATTTCATGTCAGTATCAGCCCACTCAGCTGCCTGGAATTAGGACCATGCACTTTCTTGGACCATAAAGAAAAGGGCAAACATATTATTGCGAATACTCTCGAGATTTTCTCATCTATTTGTGGTATTTTAAAGCCGACCATGAAGCTCTCGTGTTTGTTGCTCTCTCGAATTCGTAAAACTAGAAAATAGCGATAAAATTCCGGACTTAGAAGAAGACCAAATGAAGAAATTCAAAAATCTCTGACCCCAAAAACCAGATACAGCAGTTAGTTGGGCTGCACAATGCAGCAATATACAGCAGCCAGCTGGGCTGCATAATGCATGCAGGGTTGTACAGCTGTTAGCGGGGCTGTGTAATGTAGGGTTGTACAGCAGTTAGCTGGGGTGTGTAATGCAGGGTTGTACAGCAGCTAGCTGGGCTGAGTAATGCAGGGTTGTACAGCAGTTAGCTGGGGTGTGTAATGCAGGGTTGTACAGCAGCTAGCTGGGCTGAGTAATGCAGGGTTGTACAGCAGTTAGCTGGGCTGCGTTATGCAGGGGTTGTACAGCAGTTAGCTGGGCTGTGTAATGCAGCAATATACAACATTAGTTAGTTGGGCTGCGCAATGCAGCAATATACAGCAGCCAGCTGGGCTGCATAATGCAGGGTTGTACAGCAGTTAGCTGGGCTGTGTAATGAGTGGACAGAGGGGATGGTAAGAGACCAGATGGCTTAACGGTTTTCCCGTTTTCTAATGGGAGGTGTTTGTGCTGGGATGCAACCTGCGTCGACACTTTTGCTGAGTCGCACGTCAATAATTCGGCTAGTAATGCAGGGTTGTACAGCAGTTAGCGGGGCTGTGTAATGCAGGGTTGTACAGCAGTTAGCTGGGCTGTGTAATGCAGGGTTGTACAGCAGTTAACTGGGCTGAGTAATGCAGGGTTGTACAGCAGTTAGCTGGGCTGTGTAATGCAGGGTTGTACAGCAGTTAGCTGGGCTGAGTAATGCAGGGTTGTACAGCAGTTAGCTGGGCTGAGTAATGCAGGGTAGTACAGCAGTTAGCTGGGCTGTGTAACGTAGGGTTGTACAGCAGTTAGCAGGGCTGTGTTATGCATATTTGGACAGCAGTTGGCTGGACGGTGTAATGCAGGGTGCACATTTTGTTCGGGGTAACACAAAATGTGTTAGTAATAATACCGAAATAATACTGCACTTTGAAATTAAAAAAATATGTGTGCACGAATCAAACACTAGTATTTTCTCGGTGAGAACATTAGTGTTTTCAGCATGGAGAAAGTTCTCAACAAATTGTTTACCCTCGAAAATAAAATATAGTGCTTTCATGCAAAGAAGATCTTATTAAATAAATTTATATCCTGAAAAATATATATTCGTGTATCTAGAGTGTTGCCTGGTTAAGTTCTTCACGAAAAAGAGGTTTTATCTGGTTCGGTTACTAGTTAAATGATAAAAAGATCCATTGATTATTATTGATCACTGCATGGATCCTCCTTACCTTCATAGTTGGGGGCTCGAGATGACGCACCAGCTTCAGGTGGATGAACTGCTGCTGATATACTGAGTGCTAATAATATTGCCACCGAAAAAACTGAATTTTGAACACTTTTAAGTTATAAACAGAATAGAACGGATTCTGGAAAAAAGTGTTGAACAATTTTATGTTATAAACAGAATAGAACGGATTCTGGAAAAAGTTTGCGTATCAGACGTCATGCCTCGTGAAGGCCCAAGTAACACTGAGCAAACACAACACCGCGTGACGGCGTGACAGACGCGTCCCAAGCACACGCCAGGTCATCTACCGGCCAACTGTAACTCAAACTACCAGCAGTCTACAGTCAGCCAACTGTAACTCAAACTACCAGCAGTCTACAGTCAACCAACTGTCACTCAAACTCCCTGCAGTCTACAGTCAGCCAACTGTAACTCAAACTCCCTGCAGTCTACAGTCAGCCAACTGTAACACAAACTACCAGCAGTCTACAGTCAGCCAACTGTAACTCAAACTCCCTGCAGTCTACAGTCAGCCAACTGTAACTCAAACTACCAGCAGCCTACAGTCAGCCAACTGTAACTCAAACTACCTGCAGTCGACAGTCAGCCAACACGAACTTAAACTCCAAACAGCCTGCAGCTTGCAAACTCGAACTCAAACTCCCAGCAGTCAACTGCAAGTAACATTAACTTAAAATAGCAGAATATCCGCTGAGATGGACGTCTAGTAAATGTTTGATGTCAATTTAAATAATAGGCATAGGCTTCTATGGTCCCTAGTCAGTTTGGTTAAGTAAGACACTTCTTAAATGCGTTCAACAAACAATCGAAGTCATGCAGCAAACTAATGCACCGAAGTTCATCCGGCAAGCAATAAAAATGCATCCAGCAGTAACCAGCATTAAAACTAAGTGCTACTAACAAACCATCATAATACCAACAATACAAATACATCCAATCAACCATCCAAATGCATCCAACCAGCCATCCAAATGGCTCTCCTGTGTCGAGATATTTTTTTTAAGTAGGCCACGTATCAGTTTGTACGATTGCATTCAATCGATACCTAATACGTGATATAGATACATGATTTTGCCAATATCTCATCTAGTTGATGTAAATCAAGTTTGTAACGCCGCCTATTGTAACGCGATGTTAATTATTCTCAAGTTGATAAAAATATTTGATGTCAATCAAGATTGTAACACCGCATATTGTAACGCGATTTAACTATAATCTTATATATTTTGCTGCTACTTTCAAGTGTTAAACTGTGTATACGTTGACAGCCAAGATTGTTTTTGAACGCAGTCATAACAATTATATTATCGTCATCATGTGTTCCTATTTGAATTTCTTAATCGACGATTCCTTGTGATTTAATGTATTTTTGACATATGAAATTTTTACTGTTTGTCATGATCTTCACATATAATTCTAACATTCGATTTCACATGATTTCTGTTGACAGCTATATTTAAATGATTCAAACATTTTGAACTGATTTTTTTCAGTATGCAAATTCGTTCCTGTCAAATTAGAGACTAATTTTCCGTAGTGAGGAAGTTGTTATTGTGCTACTTTTAAGATCTCGTAGCTATTGAAATGTTTTGCTAATTATTAATTCTTGTTAACAGCATGGTTTATCGACATGCTGCAATTTGTCATTTTTTGCATTTTGACTAGCACTAAAATTCAGAAGTGTTACCACTTCCGTTTGATTTGATAAGATCGAGGACGATCTAAAAATTTACCCGTACGTAGGAAGGTGTCAGGTGACAGACAATGTTGATACCATTCGTCCCTGGATATTTCCTGATTGATGTCTTCCTTGTTGAGAGATAAGATCCTTCATATGTGATATGTTCATGAGCATTTCCTTGTATTAGCCTTTCCTGTTTATCAAGTCACGCCCTTGGTGAGGTCAATAGCGAAGCTATAAAAGCTCTGTCTCAAGCGATTAACTTCAGTCTTGGGCCGAGAACAGTCGTGTGTACGCCCTTACTCCTGTCCGTATTTATCAGGGCAGTAAGCCTAAATTAATGTCAGAGTAGAAGATACACTCTAGACTTATCCATACTTCAACTGGACGCCAAAGACATCAGTGTAAAAGCTCCAACTTATAATCTGATTATCCTAAACTGTAAACTGATATATTCTCACTAAGTATAAGTATCTAATCTGTACTTAACTCGTGCCTCATTTATCCTCATTTAAGTCAAGGCACCAGAACCTGCCTCAGGTATCAGGAATCAACCCTTTGGATGCATCCAAAAAATCATGAAAATTCATAAAACAACCCATTTGAGAGTATTTGAGTAATCACTTAGAGGCAACCGACAAACCATTTGCATAGAACAAACAAACTTTTGCTATCAACAAATTGCGTCCCACAAAGCAATAAATTGCACATGACTAACTATTAACATGCTCAAAAAAAAAACAGCCGATTAGTCGAAGAAACTCAATAATCCTACAAACCAGCAAAATTCTCCGTTAACCCAAAAAAATTTACAATGTACCATCCAAGTGGATGTAACAATCCATTTAAATGCACCTACCGAACTATAAAACCATTGAAATGCATAGGACTTCCTACATAGGCAGTTTAAGAACTCTCTGAATCCTCTGAAAAATAAGTATTCAACACACCTTCAACTAAACATTTCAATATTTTCAACAAACTTACTCAATGACTTGAAGGGAGTCATTGAGTATATTGTATACATTGAACTATTGAACACATTGAAGTATGCAAGTATCCCCACGGTTTATACAATGTCCCAGAAGGATTACTAGAATAATTTGAAATAAGAACCAACACCAGGGGCCAGGGCTATAAACTAAAATAATATGCGTTTAAAAATTACTTTTTAAAGATAACACTTCTGAAGAATCCGGTGTTTTGGATGTTACAATGTCCAATGAATTTCTTATTTTATTTTCATATATTAAAAAAAGTTATATATCGAAATTTTTTTAAGATATAAAAATGTTGTAAATTTTCAAAAGTATTTATTCTGTCAACTGATTCATGCATTGTCTCTGAATTTATGCAATTGTGCAAAATTTCAGATCGATTGGACAGGTTGAAGTTTGTTAAATATCGATTATAAGATTTGTAGGTTATAGTTTCACGGCTCCATCCTGCTAAAGCGCGACCAGCCCGGCTAAACCCGGCGCCGGTCTCGGCTCAAAATTTTAACTGGGTCTTAGGATAAAACTTCATATCATACGGTTTTAGATCCCAGATAACAACAAGCAAACACGTTTAGAACGTAATTTGCGAGGCAATTACTAAATAACTAAAGCAAATAATTTAATGGAAAGTTAGGGGATAAGTGTTGAGAAAGTTCGGAATGTGGGTTGCAGCTATGCAGTGTGTTTAACAAGTGTTTGTTTCGAGACGGTGAGGCCGAGTTTGTTTACATCGAACAATGGGAGCTTACTGCGAGGTAAATTCCATGAGAGGAGGAATTCGGTTAGAGGCTTAGGGCAAACTGTGCGCGGTTGCTACGAAAACAAAGGAGCTAAATTGCGCGCCAGAGAGGTTCTTCTGAAGGCACGGTTACGCAAGCACGGTCTGCAGTGAAAACTCATAAGCATTACTTTCGGCACATACATACTTTTTGTATATCCTTATACAGTACTTCCTCATGTATATATACGGGCAACATTGGGTTAATAGTGGAAGTGCGTATAAATGCGAGTAGAGTTGGGAGGGAAGTTAGTCAGTCAGAATGTCAGTGGAGTTACTCACGTCGCCGGTTAACACAGCCGTCCTCGTCGCTGCGTTCGAAGCCTTCGCCACAGTTGAATTCTCCGTCGCACCGCCACGTCTCGGGTATGCATTGGCTGGTGTTGGCGCACTTGAACTGATCAGAGCGGCACGCGCCTGCAATCACAAGTAATGCGGTAAAGAATTTTCAGATCCTAATTAAAAAATTAAAATGTGTGTATTCATTTTTTGTGGTCTCAAAGTAACTGTTCTGCTTCATTAATGTAATTAATAATTATTTTGCAGGTACTCAGTAGAAATTGCTGATACTAACTGGTGCTTGCTGGAACTCACTGGTGCTTGCTGGTACTCACTGGTGCTTGCTGGTACTCACTGGTGCTTGCTGGTACTCACTGGTGCTTGCTGGTACTCACTGGTGCTTGTCTCTGGTGCTTGCTGGTACTCACTGGAGCTTGCTGGTACTCACTGAAGCTTGCTGGTACTCACTGGTGCTTGCTGGTACTCACTGGTGCTTGCTGGTACTCACTGGTACTCACTATTGCCTGTCTCTTATACACATCTAGATGTGTATAAGAGACTTGCTGGTACTCACTGGTGCTTGCTGGTACTCACTGGTGCTTGCTGGTACTCTCTGGTGCTTGCTGGTACTCACTGGTGCTTGCTGGTACTCACAGGTGCTTGCTGGTACTCACTGGTACTTGCTGGTACTCACTGGTGCTTGCTGGTACTTATTGGTGCTTACTGGTACTCATTGGTGCTTGCTGGTACTCACTGGTACTTGCTGGTACTCACTGGTGCTTGCTGGTACTTACTGGTGCTTGCTGGTGCTCACTGGTGCTTGCTGGTACTCTCTGGTGCTTGCTGGTACTCTCTGGTGCTTGCTTAAGTCAGTGCTAAGATTTGACGACTGATTCTAACATTTGCATATGAGGTAGAAAACTTAATCATAGCAATTTCGGACGAGGAAATTCGAAGTGAGATATAAATATATTTATATTGAAATGAGTTATAAATATATATCTATTTAATCAGAAAAGAAGATAAATTTCTAATATACGCGTTATTAAATAGTTTGTGAACGTTTATATGCTGTCAAATACTAGTGGTTTCGTGTTTCAACTCACTGCTGTTCTTTTGTTAATAGTAATGTTAACGAGCGAAGTCTATACCATTCAATCCCACAAGAAGTTGATCACAAAATCNGGGGTAAGAATGTGATGTATGTGTTGTTTATAACATCGCATCACAGGTGTGGGAAAGTTTCAATATGCAATGGGTTCAGAGGGCCCAAAACTTCCCGTGGAAAGAAATCCAGGCCCCAGAAGAGGTTAAATTCGACAACCCGACTTTAGTTATTGCTTGCTTGCGAAACATTGAAAATAATTAGTTAGTCAAACGTTATAATTGAATGCAGTCGGGGAATAATTCATATATA